TGTGGTGCTGGGGGATTGAACCGCGGTCCCTGATGCTTTTGCTAAGCTTGTTCTAAGTAGGTACTTTAGACCACTGAGCCATCTCTCCAGCCCATGTGTTAGATGAATTTGTTTAGTTAATAATATGTACCTCAAACAGACACACTGCTCTATTCACTTTGTTTTTAGCCATTAATGATTCATAAAATACCTAAGCATAAAATGTATTTGATGAATGGGATTACATTTTAGGGAACATAAAACATTCGTTTCTAAAATATACAAAAGCTTTGAAGAAATTAGTACATAAGATACAAATCAATAACAGAGTGGAAAGATGAAATATGAAGGCAATAAAAGAAAAACTGTATCCACAAAACCAGCAAGGAGCTGGGGAGATGGCTCGGTAGAAGAGGTGCTTGCCTGAGTTCAATCCCAAGTTCCTCCCCAAAAAAAGGTTTTATGAAAAAAAAGACCAGCAAACATAAGATGTTGCCATTCACCTGTAAGGAGAAATTGATCAAGGAAAACATACAAATATCACATCATAGATATTATATTTTAATTGGGATAAAGATGTAAGAGTGACTAGCAAAATTTTAAAAGGGTACTTTCATTTCCTTGAATTTTATATTTTTTGGGACACAATTTAACAATCTCTTGTGAAGTAGAAATGCACACATCATTCATAACAATATAGTTCTTTGCGATGTATTGTATGGAATTTAAAGTTTTAGTGTCTGAGTATACATACAAAACATGTTTGGGGCATTATTTTAATAGCATTTCTAAGAGGAATCACTATGTCAAACTTGATTTCCAGAGCTTTATCCTCTGGGGAATGCCATCATTGAACTTCATGAGTTCAAGTCATCAAAAAGTTAATAGCCATTCTTTGCAGAATTGAAATATATAACAACTCTGTGATTAAGAACATGATATATGGTTTTTGAGTAGAATAGTAAGGTGGATAAATATAATAAAAAATATAAGTAATATATGCAAGTATGAAACATTTTAAAATCTCAGTTTTTAGAAAATTGATAGCTGTTAATTAAAAGTATAGTTTTAAATGATCATGCCTTAACAGATATATATTAATTCAATTTAAATTGAGTAATAAAGAAATGAGTAAACATAAAAAATCTCTTCAAAGTGAAAGCCATCATTTGTTAGTTAATTTTAATTATGTCAGTTATCATTGAAATTTTACTAGTTGCTGTTTAATAGGAAGCAGAAAACTATGTATGACAGGGTATTATTAATGAACATATATAAAGTTAGTACATACCTATCCACTTATTAATTTATTACTGTATGTTAACATGAGTAATATGGAAGTAGTTAGATAGGTTGCATACCTGGCACACATTTGTTTTATTCAGACAGTTTGGACTAAAATTTCTGATTTATACCTTCGCTGTGTTCTTGCTGTGATAGAGTTAAAATGATAGAAGGGGCACAATTATGGAAGGCTAAAAGAAGGAAGAAGACAAGAGGAAGTAGATTATAAGGGGAAGTAGGAGGAAGAGAAGGAAGAAGAGGCAACAAGAGGAGAGAGAAGAACTTACTGACAGGCAGACACTGAAGTAGAGGGAACTGTCACAGTGAGAATGGAAAATATACTATAAGTACGTCAATATTCACTAGACCTTTATATTTAAAAGAGATCCTACTACTAACATTTACTCCTACCTTTCCTTTAGTTTAATTCATAAATTATGTCCTACTACCTCTAAGGATATTTTGCCTACTTCTCTAAGACTCATAACTCTGCTCTGCAGATTTGCTTCTGTCCACAACTCCTAGTTATACTCCATCCTGTTATGTCTCTTCCATTTTCTACTTCACCAATTTTTCTTCCCTTCACCAGTTTCTCTGTTTTCATCAGTTTGAACCATTCTGTCTATATATTTATACAATATGTGGGCATGTTGAAACACTCTCTCCTTTGACCCAACATCTGTTAGAAACAGGCAGGCTCCCTCACCTCTCAGTGTTTCTTGGATGAATCTCTCCCTTATGTTGAGTCTAGTAGTGCATTTGAGTCCTCCTTGACTTCCACACCATTCCTATGAATAGAAGGAAGAGCATATTTCAACATTACATAATCACTTTCTATAGAGAAAAAAAAATCATCCTTCAATTTTCAACATCTACACAGTCTCTAGAAGAATATTTGCAAATACCTGAACTCTAAATGTCTCCTTTATAGTCATACCTCAAAATCAACTGTAAGAACACTTATGTTAGGGGAATATTTTTTATATTTATAGTATCAAAATATTCGAGAAGAATATTAATACCTGAAATCAATAAACAAATATTTTTCAATGATGGAAGGCCACCTAATTAGAAAAATCACATATAAATTTAGAAAAATATGAGTACCCATGTAACCACTACACTATAAGAACATATGTAAAGCCTAGTCCAGAATCTCCCAAGTAAATACCCCTTCTGACTTACCTGCTTAAGGAGTTGGCCACTTTTTCCAAGTTCTGGATTTTAGAGTTCCTCTCATGTTCTTTTATGAAAACTGAATCATGCATGGATGCCATCACTGAAAATAGAAAGAACAAAGCAACACACAGCTTTCATTGCTTCCATCTAGAGATGTTCTTATTCTTTGTATTTTTACAGAAGAATTGATTCAGCAAACTTCCAGGGAAGGGATATATTTTAAACTGTGATTTTAAAAATATTTAATGTCAAGAATTTCCTTTAATTAGATGAAATCTGGGTTTGATTATAAACAATTAAATATGAATTGCTGGACAATTTTGACTAAACAGAAGCCAATAGAAAAATGCATTTGAGGTGAAATAATAAATTTGAGCTGAAAAATTCATGAAACACATCTTTACTTTCAATTTGTGTTTCAAACATGCCAAAGGGCAATAATGAAATTATTGGTAATACCAGCCAAATGTACTGACCTGACTTTACACACTATACTTGAATTTAAGTCTTAGTAAGTATGCAGATGACTTTTAATCCCTACTTTTTCATGGTTTGAGTTTATCTACTCCTAAGAATAAAATATTGTATATAGTGGTACAAACTAACACTCCTAGTGGTTAGAACAATGTTGGTAGACACTTTATCTGTACTATAACTTGTGGTTTTGATTTATCTCCAAAGTGGTTTTTTTCATAATTAAACTCACTGGGACCTCTTCCATAATTTTAAGTGGACAGTACGCAGCTCCATAGATGCCCAAAGAGCAATCACTATCTCAAACTTGAATTTCAGAGCTCTATCCTCTGGGGAAATGTGGCCATTGAATTTCTTGAGGTCAAGTCATCTAAAGGAGTACTGCCAGACTGTGCAGAATTGAAATATATAACAAATTTCTTATTAAGAACACGATGTATGTTTTTGAGTAGAATAATAAGGTAGATGAATATAATAAAAATATAAGTAATATAAGTAAGTATCAAACACTTTTCAAAATCTCAGTTTTTAGAAAATTGGTACTTGGCAGTTAAAATTATAGTTTTAAAAGATCAAACCTTAACAAAATATGTCAATTCAATGATTAATATTATTTAGCCAATAATTTTTCTCTTCATATCAGGAACACCACGATGGAGGTTTATTCTGAGAACAAGCCATTGAAAAGTTGATTCATGTGCTGACATATTCTGCTTTATCAGTCTTTTAGATGTTCTGAACATACCACACCTTTAAACAGACAAATGGGTAGAATTTTTATTAAAAGAGATATATGTAAAGGAAAAACACACCAGTGTTTATTCATATTCAAGTCAGTTGTGTATATATACTTTATTGGCTGAAGAACTTAACTACACAGTATCAGGTGCTAGTCTGAATGCTCCAAGAAAAGGGTCATTTTTGATGCTACACACATAACATCATAAAATTATTCCCTGAAAACACAACTATTTAAGGGAACTCTATATA